GCAATTTTACATTATCGTAGAATAGATCTTGCAAATTCCTGACATACTTTTATCAATTTTATATCAATATGAAAGTTAATCGTCTGCTCTGATTTCCGAAATCTCTAGTCAAGTAGAGTAAGTCATCATCAAGTATTGATATTAATGTTACATAAAGTAATTAATTTATATTAATTAAATAACATAAAGTAATATTAATTTTATATTTAATACTAGTGTAAAATTTCAATATACTACGTTAACGCGAGTTGCATATTGATTCAATTTCCTTCTTTTATTATTTTTTATAATTGTAGTTACAACAGAGTAATTTAAATTAATAGTCCAAGGACAAAAGTGTTTGTTTAATGGAATTTTTGGATAACAGAATAATTATTTCTCTGGTATTAAACTACATATGTAGATTAAGAAAATTATCGTTCAATTTCTATACTTGAGAATGCTATATTTCTTTTAGCTGTCGAATTATTTAATTTTTTTTAGAATAAAGTTACATTCCTTTTGTGCTTCGAATTGTCGAGATCCAAGACATATCCTCGTCATTTTGGTTCGCTGTTCCACTTTGAACATTTACGATAGCTTCGTCACATCTTCAAAACGTTAATTCATCACAGAATTAAACATAATCTTTTATATTATATTTTATCAATATCGCTCTTGTATTTTGTATATCGACTTAAATTAGTAGAAGGAAAAGCATTTATTATTACTAAATATTCAGTACAGATAATAAAATAATATGAATGACGAGAGGACATTTAAATATTAGAATATTCGAACAACAGTGATCCTATTGTATTCAAAACTTACAAAAATAAGAGACATCTGATTTCTAAATTAATAAAAAAATATTCAGAAATATTTCAACACTCAAATTAATTATTTCAGCGATTAATTAAGCCTTACATTTTACGTTGTAATATAACGAAAGTTACGGATAACGTTTTTCTACCATCATCGAAAATTGTAGCCAGTGTCAGACGAGAAACGTCGATTAAAATCCCTACAGGGGAGAGAGAGAGTGAGAGAGAGAGAAGAATATTTGGACGATATTCAATGGTCGAATAAGGACATCCCCATAACAGTGCGAAATAATCATAGAGGTGGTGGAAGTGGTTGAGGAGGTATCGGTAAGGGGGTTGTTGGAAATCGGCCGTTCGAAGAATTGGAAGAAAAGGCGAGAATAGTCTAGAGAAGAGACAGGGGATCGAGATGATCAAATGAAAGGGACGAGGGATGAAGATGGTCGTGTGAACTGACGACGAATAGCAGGGGATGTTTCTGTTAGCGATGGGATCAAACTGGGCTCGGATGGTATCGATATGTATTCGTTAAATCGATATATATGTACGCGAACCGCTAATTTTGTTGACCTCTCGTCATAATTATTACATCTGCGTCGTTTATTTTGAAAGTGATATAAGTCTGTTTACTTTTGTTTCTTTTAACATTCGTATATATTTTAAAGGAACTAAGTATAAATAGTTTATAATACGTATATAAAGAAACTAAATATAAATACTTTGTTTCTTTTAACAAAGTATTTGCGTTTCCATCGATTATACAATTCTATTTGGCAACGAAATTTCGTCCGAGTGAAACAGACGAAATGTAAATTATTAAATCGCAACTGTATACGAATAAAAAAAAAAAATTCGCATTGAAATCGTACGTAAATTTTTCATTCTCTCAATTTTCTCAAAAAAAATGGACTCAAAGGTAAACAGTTCGTATTTTTTCTTCGACGAATTGTTATTTTCTTTCAATTATTTTTATTTCTACACGTAGGAATCTGAAAAGAAAGAAAACAGAACAATTGGCATCAAAGGGCAATATTTATTTACATTTATTCAAATCAAATGTTACAACTTCGCGATCAATTCCCACGAGTTGCCCCAGTTTTTAATTGATTTCACCCCCGGAGGAATTTTCCTTGCATTTGAATAACTGCACATCGAGGACGAATCAAGTGTTCGAATGTACGGTTACTATTTCCGTTCTGCTGTGCTGAATTTGCAATTTGTTCAAGCTCTCGTTACCGTGTCTCGCTTGAAAAGTTTCTCTCGGATTGGGAATTATCCCCTTTACGCTGAATGTTTCAGCTGAAATTACGAATGCATCTCGGAATAATTCCCGCGGATAAATCCATTCTGCCATCACTGACAACGATCAAACATACCCGAAACGAGAGATTAAAGCCAAGAAAATAAAGAAGAAGAAGAAGAAGAAAAAAAAAAAAAAAGAAAAACAGAGAAGAATCGGGGAATTTTCAAACCGATCAATCGTAAAATTCCTCGTACTCCAGTTCCGTCACGAATTCGTTTAGAGAATTAGGGAGGGGGAAAATAAAGAAACTCGATCAACAAAATCACCGGGACCAATCAAACGGGCGAATCAATGAAAAATTGCAGGCAGCTCTCGGATCGGGCCCATCGCTATTCCACGATTGAAAGAAAAAGAGAAAGAGGAAGGAACGGGAATGGCGTGGAGGGACATACGGGGGTATCCGAGCAAGAGTCGCACGCGCAAGCGCCATTTCGCAAACATGGCCAGCCATCTTGCGATGCGTAGCGTTCGAACGTCGGAGTAGGGGTTGGAATATAACCGTTCTTGGTATCGAACTGCACTTCAGTACCCACGGAGACAGAGACAGGCATAGAACGTCCTTCAACATCTCTACGAATCGCTGCGCGTTCTCCATTTCTCTCCTATCGTTTTCTTTCATTCATTTTCTTTCTCTTCACTCGTTCTAGTCTCTTCAACCGTTTCCTCATCCGCGTTCGTTTTTCTCATCCGCGTCCCGTTTGATACTTGGATTCTCTTCCTCATTCGACGTTTAAATCCCCGTTGAAGTTGACCGAGTATGCGGCCACGCGAGTAATTGATCGCGCCAATTGCGTATCGGTGTGAAAACGAAACGATACGTCGCGGTTTCCGTACGCCTCGATACGTAACACGTTCCCCTTTCGAAATCTTTTGAAACTTTCTTTTTCTCTCTCTCTCTCTCTATCTACGAAAGTTTCTCTCTCTTGCTCTCGTCCCCTCTGTTTTTTTTTTTCGTTGATCTTCTCGGTCTAAGTACAGGCTGGCAATTAGAAGTCGCTAACGTTGGTCCGCTAACGTGTGAAATTGAAGAGCACAATTTGCATGGAAGAGAGTCAGATGTCGTTCGAAAGCTCGCCGAATCGTTCACACGCTCTCTGATCAACGTTCTTTAACTTCAAGCTCTCTTTCCAACCCTCGTTTTCGAGGCTCGTCGTTGTTTGAAAATCGTTGCGAATCCATGTGGTGACGTTCACGTACGACAGAAAGAAGTTTTGGAAGGTACCGCTGCAAAATCTGTAAATTTGACAGAATTACACAAAGTTCCAGAAATGAAATCTCCAGCCCCGCGAACTTTGAGACGAGTCTCTCGTTAAATGTCGAGTTTTATTCGAGAGAAAACCGCGAGTTTGTCCAATCGTGACTTTCGAGGCAGCTCTGACGACTTTCGAGAAATCGAGTGTGACCGATCGTTCGTCAAACGGTACGTCAAGCGTGCGTTAAAAACCGGGTCATCCACTTCTCGTGAAAAATCGATACGAAATGTTGGAACGGCGATTCCTGGTCTGACCGCTGGCTGACTCGTTCCACTTACCGCGTCATGAACAGTCATTTTTCAGTGGCAAACTCTGTGGTTCACGTTGCACTCGGTGTTACATCAGTTACGCTGCGCTCAAACTAGATGCAATATTGCGTCATTAGGCGGGTCGCAATGGTTCGTTGAAAAATCAACGAGAATGAAGTTTCAACAAAAATGTTTCGTTCTCTTCGATGAAAAATCCTTTGTTCATTGTTTCTACGTTCGTACATTTTCGTCGCCATGTTCTTTACGCTCTTCAATTTTCTTCCGTCTAATCTTTTTTGAATAAGTTCCACAGACCCCTCCTTAGAAATAATTCGAACGCTCAGGCGAATTAAATTCTTTCAGTCAAGTTGTTCAATTTATTGGATACGAAATTCCTCAAGATTATTTCACTCGAGTCAGTTGGTGAATCCACTCCAATAAGGTGCACGCAAATAGTGAAATTATTTCTCGTTAGAACGTGAGAGGCACGATAAGCCCCTCGCAAATAAAATTCCGTGAAAGCCAGGTGTATCTGTTTGATCGAGAAGTTCCAATGTGACACGATTCGTGGGCAAGGCGACGTTCTCTACCTGTTGCACGTTGCTTTCATAGGAAATTGCCTTACCGACATATTGAACATTGTCATTCCTGTCTATGGAGGGTAATCCTGTGCAGAAACGCGCCACTCTGGGATTACAACGCCTTTCTCTTTTACCCCTTTTTTCCTTTTTCATCGTTATCGGCCTCGTATGCGCGATAAAATCACTCGTTGTTCTCATCTGTAAACGTATTTACTCGGCACGGTGCAATTTATCAGAGTGCTCTTCCTTTGAAGCTTATTATTGCGCTTGTCGATACTGTTTCACTTCTGACGAAAAATCAATTAACCTTGCAAAAACAGGATGGTTCTTCATTCTTGGTTTTTTTCTTTTTCTTTCTTTTTTAATTTAACAGAAGATCGTTTTTAAAAAAAAAAAAAATTTAATTGTCGCGAGGAGCTCTTGAATATTCGCAGAATTAATTTTTCTTCGTACGATAGAGAAAACTGTTCTAATCGAGTGAAAAAACAGATGTTATAAATGGTGTACCGTTGATATTAATTCTTCCAACATTGTATTTGAGTTGCTTCTTAAAAAGTTTTGTGTCTATTCGCGGACATTATAAATAATATTAGACTCCACTGAGAATTCGTTTCGGAATTTTCAATTTTATAATATAATTTTGTTCCTAAGCCTGCGTTACGAGGAAATGTGCGAAGCACAAAATAAAACGAAATACTCTGCAAAATTTTAGTAATCTCGCATAAATTCTCAACGGTTGCTCGGTTATTTGGGAATTCAATTTTTGCTGAAGAAGAGAGACAGATATCATATGTAACAAATGGTCTCGCAGGTTTCGTTCTGACAAACGTGAATCGCGTCAAAGAAAATTAATTCTGCTTCGTAGAAGGATACTAAGTGTCTACCTGTTGCACCGTGCTGCTAGACGAAACGGTCTCGATCGTTTTCGGGGAATCGCGAAAGTGAAGGGGCGAAAACAGAGTGGACGAGGGAAAGAAACAGGCAGAAAGATAGAGACGGCGGTGGATAGAGGGAGGATGTGTATGAGGATAGAGAGAAAGGGAGAGAAGGAGAGAAGAGACAAGCACTTGGCGAATGAAAAATTTTACGCGTCTACGCGTAGGAAGAAATTCTGCTGGTACGTCGCTGCCTTCGCAACTTGTTGCTAGTCACCCCGAGATCTCTCTGGCTTCTCGATTTCCGGCGCTGCCTTTTGCACACAGGTATGCGACTAATTTTCAAACATTGGAAAAGAAATCTTATTTCTCTGAAAAGAAACGTCGTGCACGTAAATGTCTGCGAATAAAACGCTTTAAAAAGAAAGAAAACAAGAACTGGTTATATTTGGTTGAAGAAATATCGCTGGACAAGTAAGCTATTAGTTTCCAAATTAGAAAGATTCTTATTCCTTTTGTTTGTTTCTTTTTTTTTTTTTTTGTAGATTAAATTGTTAAATTGAAAGTTGAAGTTTCAACGTTTGTAATTTTTCTAAAAATAATGTGAAATTCCTAGTGAAATTTTGATTCGGGAGATTTGGTACACTTTTTTTTTTTTTGTAGATCAAATTGTTAAATTGAAAGTTGAAGTTTCAACGTTTGTAATTTTTCTAAAAATAATGTGAAATTCCTAGTGAAATTTTGATTCGGGAGATTTGGTACACTTTCCTTTGCAAGACAAGTCTTTAATCATGTTTGTATTTTTTAATCTAAATCTTTCACACGAATGGCAAGTTGTTTTTTTTCCGAAACGAGCAATTTGTACTTTCGATCGAAGTTTCAAGCTTTTTATGATAAAACGATTGACAGAATGCCGATTATGTTGAAGCTTGATATCCAGGTTTAAATATCACTTTTTATGAAAGTCTGAATAATTTCACGTAACTGTGAAATTCACCATTTCATATGCAACAGTTTAGTACATGTGTGTGTTTAGACTTTGGTTTATTACCAGAAAGATTCTCATTTCACGGAATAGATATTATGCATTAAAGTTGCAAAGACATGATAAACTTTGTAACATACATGAATTTCAACGTCTGTAGCTTTCTCAAAAATATTTGTCAAATATTTTAATTCACTAAATTCGATATATTTTCCATTGTGAAATAATTTTATAATTATCGCAATTAAAATCTTTTGCCGATTATTGTCGATAATTTTGTAACATATCGTTTTTATTTATATTTTCTCCAATTTAAATTTTCCTCATATTGCTCTGATTGTCTATTCTCTTCACGTGGTGTTCCAAGGATCTGTATTAAGAGCAACTTTTACTTCAGAGTTCCAAGTTTTATAAATATACATGTATACGTATATTTTGATAAATAGCCTAACCTTTTATAATAAAACACTCGACAAAATATTTATTAATCTCACATCAAATTCGATAAGCTTCCAATCGTTAGGATCTAACAAATATTATTTAGCCACAAAATTTCAAATTTTGTGAAATCCGTCATCTTACATATTGCAATGCTACGTAGATATTTATAATATTATGACAAAACCAAACCGTTGTTTGGTCTTCAATAGATTTATTCCAAATTTCATTTATCATCATCAAGACACAGAATGTGAAGTAATTGTGAAATCTGTCATTTCATAATAGTTTGATACATTTACATTTGGACGTAGATATGTAAATAATTTTCAAAATAGAGAGATTCTTATTCACAATATAAATATCTGGAAATTAAACGTTTCTCGTAAAGCTTTAATTTAAAGCTTTATCGTTGAACAATTTTTTATGTTTAGTTTAAAAAATCGTTTGGCGACGTCTTTTACTGCAGATTGATTTTTCTTTGAAATTTCCTCTTATTACTTCTTTCTACACTTTCTTTACAGATTTTCCTACAATCCCTTTTATTGGTGTCTTCTGCTTGTCGTCTGTTCTCAGGTCTACGTTTAATTATGCACGAAGATACCGTAAATCCTCTCGGTTGGTTAGACTTTCTGCTCCTCGTGATCGCTTATATATTCGCTCGTCTTAACATTAATTCCTTTTTAATTACAAGTATCGCGACATCTTATCCTACGACCATGGTTCATCGATATTCCTTTGACACTCGATGAAAAAAAAAAAAAGAAAAAAGAAAAATTTCGCTCGGCTATCGTTTCAATCTCTTCGAACCTGCTTCATTCGGGAAAGCTCGTCTCCTTTGTCGAGGATATTTCGTTTCTCCTATTTCCTTCTTGTCGTTTGCGATCCTCTCTGATCTCTCGGATTATTGATTCTTTTGCTCGATGTCTGAAGGAGCAGTGTACACTGTCTAATTTCCAAATGCAAACATGCCGATATCGTAGTTCGGACAAACCTTTCGAAGATTTTACACAAAAGATTCCTCCTTTTAAGCGTGTAAGTCCGAATATTCGGGCACTACGACATTCGAAAGATTTATCGAGAGATTATATTTCTTTGTAACAATTTTATTGAAGAAACGAAATATTTTTTAATAAAATACTTATTGTAATTGCTAGAACTGTAAATTTTATTTACATACTTTATTAGCGCATTTTAAAATTGTAAAAAAATTCGAGTCACAGTTGCAATAATTTTTGTTAATATTCAGGTGCTATAATATTCGAGAGATTATTGTTTATAATAATTTTATTGAAATAAATATTTCTTAATATATTAAGACACTTATTGCTAGATTATAATATTTATTTATTTAATTTACATAATTTCTATTTATTTGATGTATATAGTTTATTAGCACAATTTAAAATTAAAAAAATATTCAAAATAACGAATAAATTATATCAAAATTTATATTTGTTCATATTATGTATCACATTGTACAAAATGTATAATACATTTATATTGCACACATTTATATTTTTGTACATATAAATGTAATAATATATATTCATTATTTATCGTATAAAATAAAATATGTAACTGGCTCATTATACAAACTTTTTTGTAATCTTATACTTTGCTGCTTGCTTCTTTTACAAAAAATTACGTACAATAAATAAATAAAATTTCTATAATTTTATTTATGATATATAAAATACAATTATTTATAAATTAATATATTAATATATGATATATACACAATATGCATTACATATATCTAGTTTATAATATATATATATATATATTATAGTTTCTATAATATAGTAAATAATAATTTTTACCAACTATTCTAAGCATTTTAATATATTAAAAAACATATATATCAAATTACGCAATTGTAAACAAATATAGATCAATAATCTCTCAAACACCATGACTTCTGAATACAAAGACTCTGAAGCATTATTAAGAAGTTATAAACATTGCTTAAACAATTTTTGCTTCTAGTTAAATACTGAAATTCTAGTTTTATCATAGATTCGATTATGTGATCGATTGATTGTATGACTGAATGATTCCTGGTATTTGTCGAATTTCTTGGAAAGCTTGTTTTATTCTGAGCCGTTTAGCTGTTTTAATAGCTGTTTTGTGTACACGAGATGTAACATGTTCTACAGGTATTCGATAATCCAGTGGATTTAAATTTGGATCGCACAATACGTTACGGAAAATGTTGATTTAAAAAGTTACATATGTTACAAACGAAGACAGATAGAGTATATGTTAATTAATGTTAGTATAATTTAGCTCCCGAAGTGAGTTTCATATTCTGTTACACCCTGTAGATAACATCAAACCTCGTATTCTTTCCAATTGAAACCTGCCTGAACCTCAAAGTACTCGAACAATCGACGTTTCAGGTAACGTAGAGCTATAATCCAAGCTTAAATCGAGAATGACCGGAAACTTTTGTCCGCTAGTGTACGTGTTCTCACGATATTTGACGCCATTTTCCTTTGATGCAGTACCGAGCAAAATGGTTGGCTGGTTCGACGAACATTGAATGCAGGACGAAACGGCAAGAAAAGATGGAAAAATTCGAAGTAAATTCATTCAAAAGCCGTAATAACTTATTAAATAAATTGTGTATATAATTGTTTTCAAGTGCAAAGAATTGCTTTGTTAATACATACAGTATTAAGGGCACAATTGAACACAAAATGATACTTTAAATTGTTATAACTTTGTAAAAAAAAAAAAGTCACAGGACAATTTTTTTATTTCGTTTCATTTTAAAGCGTAAATGTCCCAAGTATTTTTTTCAAAAATATTTTTACATCGTGCAGTGGACAGAAAAATAAGAGTACCTTTATTTTCGAAAATTTATAAAAATTCGAACGTCTCTGAAGAATTGAAAATTTTTTTTTTCGTGACTCGATCCATCATGGTTCCAAATATATTTCTTACAATGACTCGTTGCTGTACGATCATTTATTGAACATTGAACGTTAAGCTTAGACGATGAAATGTTAGGATGATCTTGAACTTTTGTTTAACCCTAACGAAGTTCAGTAAAAAAGAAATCGAAACTTTTGCCCGCTGGTGTACGTGTTCTCACGATACTTGACGCGGTATCGAGCAAAAGGGTTGGCTGGTCGGTTTGACGAACGTTGGACGGAGGATGAAACGGCAAGAAGGGATGGGAAAAATTCGAAATATCCGTCTCGTTGAGTTATGCGCGGACAGTGCAGGGACTCACCTGTTGCGCGTTAATTCGTCGTCAGGGAAAGAGGGTTGAAGCAGACTAGGGGATGGAAAAAAAAAAAGGAGATCGCGGCCGCTTCTTTCGTGCAACATTTAAACAATTCTCTTCGACACGCGCCATACGCGACCTGTTGCGCCGTTAATTTAATGAAAAATTCAGGCTTCCCAGCCGCGCGCCATCCTGGAATTTCATGGCGGACGTGTGGAGGACGTCTTCAGGAATGTCTCTTGCTTTATTCGCTTCGAACCAAGCCTCCGTGGCACGTGCTTGGGGACTTGTTTCGCGAAATGAAGACCTCGGATGAGCGAGGTTGATGCTCCGTGACGGTTCAACTTCTCGATGATCATTGAAGCCCCTTGTCTCTACGATTTGTCCTTCGTAGTTCGGGAAATATACGGGAAATATACCAATCTTTGTTCAATTAATTTTATTATTAACGTTGTAGTAACGTTAATAATAATTTATATCTTTAATCAAATATTGTCACGTGTCTCGCGTGGAACCGTGGATATTTATCATAAAATTTGTATCTCGCTGTTTCTCGTATATCATTTATGTTTTATTTTCACTGATTGATTGATCACTTTCAAATCTTTTGTATAAATAATTAGTAACACGAATGTTGCAAAGTCGGATATAGTCAGAACGATAAGTGTCATAAATAATACATTCTTTTCAGATATACAATGTTTTTTTTATATATAATTATAATGATCTTACATAATTGTAAGATTGTAATACTGAATATTATGCGTGATCTGTTTCTGCGTAATACATACTTTGACAAACAAAATAGTCGTGCAAATTAATCATGTGTGTGAACATTTTTCTCAAAAAATGTGTATAAAATAAGTAAGATCACGATATAAAATTGATGTGTTTATTATATATCTATATCTGCGAGTGTGTATAAACAACTGAATAAAAATTTAGTTTATAGTTAACTCGTTAATAAAAGAATTTAATTATTTATCTTCCTTCGTAAGTATTGATTATTTATTATTTATCTTATTTTTAATTTAATTATTTATCTTTTATCGTAATTTAATTATTTATCTTTTCATCGTAAGTTTTTCAACTTGACACCAAGAAACAAATTAAATTGGAGAAAAAATAGACGAGATTTGATCCAAGTGCACATCACTATGACAAGTATTAAATATTCACGCTGGTTTTAAATAACCACTGTGTGGTTCCAGAATGAACGCGATAACATTGTATTCGTTGCAAGAAGTATTATATTTATAATCGATAGTTACATTGAAATACTTTTAATTACAGATGCTGTAGTGGAACGAAATAGTTTGCGTGAAACTGATCCTTTGACCATTGATCCATTAACGTCAGCGCGGTATGTTCCTGTTCACTTTCAACGACAGAAGCCTTAGAACCTGTAGAATGATTCTACATAGCAGTTATATAGCAGTCACGGTAAGTGAGCAATTATTTTAACCTACACTCTCGCTCAAAAGTAAGTCGAGAGTTCAAAATAAACAACGATTTCTAGCAAATAAATATTTTATTCGTGATATTATTTTATGCTATTGATGCTTTAATTAATTATTTGACGATACTAAAATTAATTATTTAATGATCAGTGATTTTCTCAGAAAAATATACAAAGAAATGTGTTTCGTTGAGAAAAAGAAAAAGTGTATCTAAAAGTTTATCTTCTGTTTTATTAATGAATAACATGTATGCATAGTATTTTATGTTTTACATAATATTATTGAATTATGATTCATTCTAATTTATCATCTTTGTCGTTTTCAAAATTTCTAACATTCGCTAGCGAAGTATTGTTGGAGATGCATTTTTATGTCATTTATTTAGCTACGGAGGGAATTTCTTTAATGAAAGAAACATCTATCTCATCTTTCATATTCCCCAGACGATTACCCCGTCTGATTACTATCTATTTCTTTCATTTGAAAAATGAAACCTCTGCCGTAAAAATTTTGGCTTAAAGGTACAGAACAGTTTGACGGGCTTAAAAATTACGAATACTTTGGAGAGCTAGTAAAACAAAGGTACATATTTAATTGACACGAGCTTTTGTGGTTTATTTTAACACATTGTGAACTATAAAAAGCAACATTAAAAGAGAGAAAAAGAGGGCACTTATTTAACTTTTTGATGGATTTTTCCTTTTACATAATTTTCTTTTACATTTCCTAAACGGTGTGCATGATTCCAGCTAAACACAAAGGTGAAAAAAAGTTCAAAAGTAAGCAATATTCTCTAGAGATTGACTATCCAACATTTTCATTTTTGTGAAAATTATAAAAATAGCAGCTATTTTAATTTGTTTCTGATGTATCGAATTTATGCCAAAAATTTCTACGTTTTTTGTTTATATTTTTTCGAAATTGTTAAAAATTAAAAAATGTTCGATCGTCAATCCCTAGCGAATGTTACACTAAAGATATGTACCAAGTTTCACAGTAATCGGTTGGTTAGATTCCGAGATATCTTGCACCGTTTCTAAAACCTAGTTTCGAGAAAAACGTGTTTAAAGTTTCAGAACTTCATTTTTTATATATATCCTTTACTTACTTTTTTTACTTATATATCGCAGTTCACAGTTCTTACAATTCACAACTAAATTGACAACCCAATTCCCCTAATATTCGATTCGTCAAAAGTAATATTTGAATCACACGATTTACAACTTTATAATACTGCTTAAAGTTGTAAACAGTGATACAAATTGAATTATTCTGTATCCGCTATTTAAAAGAAAAAGAAAATCGATTTTTTGAAAATTTCAAACTGTCCTGACTCCTTAACAAACGACATGAGAACGCGCCTCGAATAATATTCGCCAGCAAATCTCAGAAGTTTTGGAAAGATGACATTATGAAGCTTCCGGAGAGACGAAAGAAAGTAATAAACCTTAGTGAATTCTATCCAATAACATGTAGCAAGACATAAAATTAGTTTATTAATAAAATGAAAGAAACTTTTGGGACAGAAACACAATTATTTATATTATCTTATTCCTTTTGTACGTTTTTCTGGAAAAGTTGAACTTCCTTCTTAACAAAATAAATAACTTTTGAGACAACCAGCGTAATTATTTATATTATTTCATCTCTTCCGTACATTTTATTTCATTCCCCTTTTATTTTTCTGAAAACTGGCAGATTGAACGTGCCTCTTAGTAAAATAAATCAATAGTTGCTAGATTGAACGGCGTGTTACAGCTGCGAAACACTCTTTCGATACTTCCTCCTTTCCTTTTTTTTTAACGAAGGAAAGAAGAACTGCTATCGATTTCGCTAGAAGAGACTAATGAATTCGAAGCCTGCACGATTTTATTCGAAGTTAAGTCGGTGTTAGGCAGTGCAGCCTAACCACCGTAGGAATTTAATTTAACGAGTAATTTCTCCATCGAGCTCGGGCAACTAGAAGAATAAACTTTCGGGAAGAAAAGGCCTGCCAGGGGCACCTGTGTTGCTTTCGGTCGATCTTCTCGCTATTGTTTGATAATATCGCACGAACTGATCGTTTAAAATTAACGCATTTCGCGAGAATTTGCTATTTTTTATATGTGTGTGTGAATATAAAAAATATCTTGCCCACGTAACAAGTTTATCTATTTCTCTATTATCATCAGGACTCTTCATCGCTTCTTATTATTCTACATTTCTACGTTTGAATTGTACTGGAGCAATTTGTGTCACTATCACAACAGGTGATGGACAATCAATTTCTTACCGTACAAGTGTTATTATGTTCACTTTGCAAACTTGATACTGCTATGTTAACTGTATTCAACAATATTACTATATATTTGCAATATTAGTATTCACTTATTTTTTGAATATTCATATATTTGTTGGACCAATGAAAATGACCCTATATTAGTACTAACTAATTACATTAGTACGTTTATTCTATACCCACATTTTTATAAAATTAAAATATAGGACAATATAGATAGAAATTTGTCCTTCTACAATATTGACATTACAAAGAAATTTACAAAAGAAATATAGAAAATTACGAAAAAGTAAGAAAAATGACTTATTTATTGAATATTCATATTTTATTGGACAAGTGAAAATTGTCCCTATATTAGTACTAACTAATTACATTAGTACGTTTATTCTGTATCCATATTTTTATAAAATTAAAATATAGGACAATATAGATAGAAATTTGTCCTTCTACAATGTTGACATTACAAAGAAATTTACAAAAGAAATATAGAAAATTACGAAAAAGTAAGAAAAATGACTTATTTATTGAATATTCATATTTTATTAGACAAATGAAAATTGTCCCTATATTAGTACTAACTAATTACATTAGTACGTTTATTCTGTATCCATATTTTTATAAAATTAAAATATAGGACAATATAGATAGAAATTTGTCCTACAATGTTGACATTACAAAAAAATTTATAAAAGAAATATAGAAAATTACGAAAAAGTAAGAAAAATGACTTATTTATTGAAATCACTTATTTATTGAATATTCATATATTTATTAGACAAATGAAAATTGTTCATATATTAGTACTAACTAATTACATTAGTACGTTTATTCTGTATCCATATTTTTATGAAATTAATATAGGATAATATAGATAGAAATTTGTTCTTCTACAATCTTGACATTACAAAGAAATTACAATAGAAATATAGAAAATTACGAAAAAATAAGAAAAATGAATGGAAAATATTTTTCCAAAGTTATCTCCAAGAGAGCTTGTCGTTATAATTTCTTAATTCTGGAATAATTCTTCGGAAATGTTTCGGATAAAAGAATTGTTAGATGCGACGACGAACGAAATAACTAGAAATTAATATACCGTTCTATTTAAAAAAATTGAGAGTGGTTCTTCTATTTGTACAAAACTCACCCTCGCAACTGTTCTAAAAATGTTAACCCATTCTCTCCACACTATAATGAATGAAAATTTTAAAAAAGTTAGTCGATATTTGCTATGATTTTTTGGAGAAAATCTTAAAAGAAAATATTATTTATTAAATTAGATCCAGTGATTTGTGTCGAATCCTTCTTTTTAATCTTTTTATGTTTGTTTCAAGTCTATACGATTTCTAATTGTTGAGATATCACTGTTCAATTCAAAGTATAATTTTCATAACATTCTGTTATGTTTGTCCTCGTTGCATACTTTTGAATCATTCGCCTGTACTCATTCATTGACTACGTGACATACGAATTACGTGATGGTAATTAGTGACAGGGCGCTGAGTCAACATTTTGTTACGTTTATATTAACGTATATATGTACGTAGTTTCAAGAAGAAAAAATGGGTCACGCTATATCTTAGAATCTTAACTGCCATTTTGTCTTTCCGCACGTTTTAAACGCTGCAACTATATATCTCGTATCTTGGAAATTAATCGAGCTGTCGACTTGAAACGAAATTAAGATTAAAGAGCAAACTTCGCTCAACCTCGCATGATAATCTGCGGCGCAGATGTTGAGAATTTTCTCCGATTGATCTTTACGTGTTTAACTGCTTTCATTTCTCAACAAATTTTTAATTTCCATAGATCATATAAACTGTTCTCCATTTTTTTTTTTTTTTTTTGTAGTTATTTTCACATTTATCAAATTAAAACTCAACAGACACTGAAAGTATGAAAAAATCATGTCGAGAAAACTTAAAATGTAGAGGATTTAAAATGATATCAACTGGATTGTCGTACGATTTCTTTTTTTTTTTTTTGAAATCGTAGCAGCCTAAAACATCGGGTATGCAAATATTTTCGTATTTTCAACATACCGCTGTACTTTCTCTTTCCTAATTCTTTCCCTATCAATTTGTTTCATTTTGTTTGCATTCACAATTTTCGTTGCTATTAACAATTTGTATTCGCTTCGAGACAGTAACTCAGAAACGTTAGAAACACTTCACCGATAGAGATAAGTCTCGAGTTTGCCAAGTAGGCGTTTCACTCCGGATAAACTGTTGAGGGGCTGAACGATCGAGTATCGAACGGAAGGGAATTTTCTTCCTTCGAGAAAGAAAGATTCCCGTAATCCACTTGTGCCGTGTATTCTGAAAAATACACGGTTCCTCCATGTCTCGAAAGATTGTTGCCCTCTCGCAATCTCATCCGGCGATCAGGCCCTCAACATTTAAGGTACGAGTGTATTTATTGCAACTATATACGAGAGGGGCAAGTTTTGTTGGCCCGTTTAAACCATCTTATACGGCGTCCCATTATCCAGTTCGTCGAAACTGAGATTTAGCCCGACGTGGCGACGAGTCTCGCGGCGAAGGGTGGCAAACGAAGAGCGATAAAGCTCTATTTACGAGGCTCATGATAGCAAAGTCCATTCTGAGCACACCGTATACGAGGAAACGATTAAGGATACGCGTTAGTCGGTCGTCGCACGGCCGCCTTAATGGGCTACCATCCTGGAATTCATTAGGCGATTGTCTAATTAAGTTAATCGACTCCAACTCGCCTTGCCGTCATAAAAGTCGCGCAGCGTGCCACGACGCCAACGCCAGACACGTTTTCACCGCCGAAATTGTTATTTTGGTTCCCGGCCTAACGACGATAGAAGCTATAGCTCGGTTTATTCGACGGTGGATCACTAGGATTGCGAGGGGAGGGTTGCACATTTCCAATTTCCTGTCTATTTTCCTCCTGCGTTGATCTCGATAATTCGAGATTTCTTTTTATTTCATTTTTTTTTTTTTAACTGTTTTCACGAATTTTCGATCATTTCCGGCGGTAACTTAATCTTTTGCTGGCACTTGCGTTGGTTGCATTGGCTTATATGGCTCACCGAAATATTCGAATTGTCAGTTGTACTGGAATAAATAATAATGTACGCTCTGATTGTGCAATTATTGACAATTATCTGAGAATAATATGGAGCTGACGAGCTTTTCAATTGACTTTTCAGTTTATAATTTTCAGTTTATCATCAGTTTTCAATTGAATTTTCAGTTTATCATTAGTACAATAACAATAAGAATATCGTTTCATTTGGCAATTTAAATTGAGCATGTTTTGTTTTATATTAATAGAAAATAATAAAAAGTTTCCTTTTAAGTAAACAATGGTTTAGTTGTTTTCTTAAAGCGACTAAACATTGCGTCGCCGTTAGTTTATTATCGAAAGAAATGCAACTTTCCTTTTAAGTTATATTTTTCTAATTACTACGTTCTGTTATTAATTTATTAAAAATTATTATACGAAAGTCCAATTTTCACAATATTAAGAAAAGATATTCACTCACTTTTCGATTAAGGGACTCGTGTATTATTTTTCGAAAACTACTACGTATTTATACCTAAGTATATTATATACGTAATACACCTACGTATAATATAAGATATAAATGACGCAATAAACATAAGTAAATTCATTCAGAAGCCATGACAATGAACTTGACTTAAATAAATTGTGTCCATAATCGTTTCTATAATCTAATTTATTTCTAAATGTAAAAGATTATTTTCTTCTTATACGTACAAAATAAAATATCGTCGATACTTTAAACTGTTATAACTTTGTAAAAGAAAATCGTACAAAATCTACTTAGACTCATTTTCAAAGCGTAAAGCTTCTGCTTCTAGTTTGTTTCT